CACATCCTCACTGGGGCCGGAAGGCTCACCATGAACATTTGTGTCTATGTATCTCAGGAGAGCTCCTTCCTGCTTAGATAGAAACGCTTCCTTTGCTTTCTTTCTTTCTCTGAATGCTGCCCCAGAGGGGCGTTTTCTTCTTTCACTCATGACTGCTGTTCTGTGCCAGCTATAGTGGCTCTCAACACTCAGTTGAAGGGGACAAATAAGCAGGCTGGTAGCAGGGCCTGAGTGAGGGAAGATATCAGTGACTTAAGGGCCTAATTGGCTCCTACTACTTCAGTTGACTGCCTGTTCTCCTCAAGTGGGTTCAGGGAAGCAGCAGGAAACAGGAAGCTCCCTGAGAAGCTGGTGTTAATCAGTCCAGGCTCCTGGGGGTGCTAGAGAGGTACAAAAGAGGCTCCTCCTCCTTTCTGCAGCTCTACTGCTTTCCGTTATTCCCTCTCACCTTTTCTCTTGCCTGCCTGTTATGTCTCTTGTGCCCTCCTTCCTCCAGCACAGCACTCCACCATCTCTGTGCATCTAGAGCAGAGACAATACATATTCATCAGCAGCAGACAATTTTCTACACTCTGGGTCCTAGTTGTGCCCCCCACCCGCCCCACTCCAGTCTGGCACCTGAGGCAGCTGCCTCAGTTCGCCTCATGGTAAGGCCAGCCCTGCCCTGGGGACCTGTGCTTGCAACTGACACTTCCACAATCCCTAGCTCCATGAGTAGCTCAGAAGTTGCTGTGAACAGCACTCCTCAGTCAGAGGTCACTAGATGTGAAGTTCTGAGTGATTGAGGGAGTTAATGGGGAGGGAGGGAGAGATGGGAGAATTTCCCCCCCACCAAAAAAAAAAAAAAAGGTTAATGACTGCAGATCCAAATTTATTAGCACAGGTGTTAATACCTCTGCCTATCTTTTGTTCATTTTCCCTAGTGACTGAGCCCAGGTCTACCTTAGCAGCACTTTGGCAGTGGAGCTATATAGATATACTGTACTGGCCAAGCACTCTGAACATGGATGCTGGTTTGGCAGCATAGCTTATTCCAGCCCCTTGCCGCGTGAAACAAGCTACGCTGGTAAAAGTGCAGTTTTGTCGGTATAACTGTCTACAGTAGCGGCTTTTACTGCCATACCTGTATCAGAGATCATACTTCTTCACACCCCTGACACAGCTATGCTGGGAGAAGTCCATAGTGTAGACCTGTCCTCTGAAAAGCCTGTTTTAACCCTTTTGTCTTGCGTGTTGGGTTCTGCCAGTGACACACCCACTGCCATTAAAGGGCACTACTCATCAGGAATTTTGAAAGGGACATGGTCAAGGGTGACAGGGCCAACTCTAGACTCCAGATCTTAGGTCAGTTATTATTATTACATCCTTCCCACACCAATGTTGGAGCACAGCATGGAAAAACACTCTCTTCCATTCTTCTATCATTTGCTGCTGCTGTTTCCATTTGGTCTATGGGATTGAGATAGATTAAGAACCCCCCTTAGCAGGGAGGGCAGAATAAAGTTTCTCTTGGATATCCTGGTTTCCTCACACCTGTTAGTATCCCCTTAACAGCTTCAAGGGGGAGGTGGGGGTCTGTCTGTTGCCATCTGAAGTGCATGCCCCAAATATGCCTAGTGCTGCCTTCTGATTCTTGTGGAAACAAGCTGCTGGTTGGTGATTTCTTGGATCTCTTACCAACCAATGCCCATATCAAAAAGTTACATTTCCTGTTTTCACTGATCCCCCAGACAAGGGCTACAACAGTGGTAAAAATCCCACATTCTCAACTGGGAAATCGCCTGCAGCAAATCCCAGAGAAAGCCAACACTCAGGATTTCAATGCTCCCATGGCCCTTACTTTTAAACACTGATGATTTACAATCTAGACATTTTATTAATTATTAATAAAGAGAGCAGTGTAATGTGTACAATGGCAGGGTACAAGATGTCAAAAGTTAGGCCTGCCAACTGAAGGACAGTCCTTTAAAACAAGTTTCAGAGTGGTAGCCGTGTTAGTCTGCATAAGCAAAAACGAGTCGTCCTTGTGGCACCTTAGAGACTAACAAATTTATTTGGGCATAAAACAGTATTTATACAACATTGAACCCTCTAAGGGTACATCTACACTACAGGGGGGAGTCGATTTAAGGTACGCAAATTCAGCTACGTGAATAGCGTAGCTGAATTCGACGTATCACAGCCGACTTACCCCGTTGTGAGGACGGCGGCAAAATCGACTTCTGCGGCTTTTTGTCGGCGGCGCTTACTACCACCTCCCCTGGTGGAGTTAGAGCGCCGATTCGGGGATCGATTGTGGGACGTGATAAATCGATCCCCGAGAGGTCGATTTCTACCCGCCGATTCAGGCGGGTAGTATAGACCAGACCTTAGAGAGAGTCTAACCCATGATGTGCTCCTTAAAAGTGTTCCCCTTGCATATCCCAGCATTTCTCACAAATGGTATGCAGCTTCCCTGCCTGGGTCCCCACGTGCAGCCAGCCAGCAATGAGGCCCTTAAGGGGTCACTAATTTGTTTTCCAAACCTAACACCTAATTAAGATGAATGGGGAAGTTCACACTGGAGTGCTGCTATTGCAGACTTGAAAAACAGTGCCTCCCTCCATTGGTTTTCTGTCTCATTAGGATGATTAAACATTTGTAGAGAAGTACCAAAGACAGGCACAGCAACAAGTTAAAGAGAACAAAGAGAGAGTCAGAGGCCTGAGGATCTTATTGCTGAGGTGCATTAACCCCCCACAAGCTCCTTTTTATCTTCAAGGGTCAACACAAACCTTACCTACAACTCTGCTTTTGTTGGTTTTGATAGCCCTTTATCACAGAGAGTGCCGTTTGAGTGCCCTCTGCTGGCTGAGTGTGGCCTGAAAGGCCATGACTACACCCTCCCCTCAAGGGCCTCAGAAGTTACTCCACTGACAGCTTTTAAACATAGCAAGCGCCTCTGTTGCATGCTTGCTAATATTTAGAATAACTCCGCCCAGTCTTAAAGCAGACCCTCAATGTCTCCACTTAAAGTCCTAGTCATCCCCTTCTGTTCTGTGCCAGGTTCTTCAGGTGCTCAGCTCCCTTTTCCTGGGCACAAGTCCTCAGGGTTTCTTCATAAAATAAAAGCAGTCAACCAAAATGATATCCTCCCCCCCGGGGTAATCACTACAGGAGCTCACTGCTCTCTTCAGGACCTTCGCTAGGCACCTCTCACAGTCCCTTTCTAAGGGCTGCCTCTCTGCAGCTCTCCTCTTCTCCTTGAACTGGGGTATTGCCCTGCCCCTCATTAGAGGCAACCTGGGTTAACCTGCCTACTCATCAGGGGAGCAGGGCTACTTCACTTAAAGGGCCAGCCACTCTGTGTCATCTTTCCTCTCAATCAGTTCACATTACTACTCCTCCCTATATGCCCGATTCAAAGCCCAATGAAGTGAATAGAAAGACTCCCATTGACTTCAATGGATTTGGCCTAGTCTACACTAGGAATTTTCCTTGATTACAGCCATTGGTTGCCAACAGCCAGCGTAGCTGCACCACTGCAGCCTGGGTAAACCCCAATCAGCCACAATTTGCACCAAGACAGTTTAGCCTGGTTTCAAGCAGGGGTAAGCTCCACCAGTGCTTTACTTGACTGCACTAGGGGTTGCACAAGCACAGTTGAACCTGTGGCCTTGTCTACACTCGAAAGACAACGCAGATTAGGATGTGAATTTAAAGCACAACAGTTACTGGTGAATAACTCCATGTGTAGACATACTCTAGCTCTCCTCCCAGTCTCAGCTTGTGCCTTCTATTAAGCTTCCCTGGAACAATCTCCCTTTTCTCACCTGTCAGTCACCATCTCTTTCACACCCCTTCTTGCAATCCACCTCTTCAATGAGTCATCCCCACTCCTGAACTGTTGCCCTGTGTCTCCTCTTGTGTCTGACTTAGATTTTAAGTGCTCAAAGGCAGGGAATGTTTCTCTCTCTCATATTTTATATACATATATATACACACACACACACACACACACACACACACACAGAGTCCTATACATTTTATACTCCTATCCCCAAACCCAATTAAGTAAAACAAGAGAAGAGATTATCTGGGGAGCTCTGAAGTAACAAGGAGGGCAGAGGGGATCAGGAAGGCTGTCCCAGGTGGCAGGAGTTACAGTGGCAGAACTGCAGAGAAATGGCCAGAGGAGCTGAGAGGGGACTAGAGAGAGAAGGCCATGGGGTAGGACTATTACTAAGTCTATTTCTGAACTGATTTTATTGCCTTCAGCCCATCAGGGGAAATGACCACCCTGTGGAGTTTAGTATTAACTCATTTATCTACCTGGCTGGGGAGTTCAATAGTGAGCCTCTTGCTAGAGTTGCCAACCCTGCAGGATTGTCCTGGAGTCTCCAGGAATTAAATATTAATCTAAAAGATTATGTCATGTGATGAAACCTCCAGGAATACGTCCAACCAAAACTGGCAACCCTAACTCCAGGCTGTTTGACATTTTAACTACTGTGTCATCTGGCTCTGCTCAGAGCAGGTCTAGATAACACCCATGTCAAATGCTGATGACCACTGGCAGCTGGTTTACGCTATTGCTCCCACTGTAAGGGTGATATAGCCATGTGAGAAACAGCCTGGGGGTAAAAGCTTAGTTTAGACAAGGCCATGGTCAAATGGAGGAGCTGAGAAGTAGGGAAGAGTTGATGCAGAGATCTTTTGAGAAGCTTACTTGTTATGTCGCCATACACAAAGAGCATAACGCACTTTCAACGAGAAAAAACAAAAGGAAAGTCTCTCTAAGAGAGAGCACAGCTGTTAGAGACTGCACTGCAGCAACACTGGGAACAAAATGGCTCCTAAATCCAGCCGACAGCGAGAAATAGAACTGTACACAAAGGCAAAAAGACATTGCAGTACCCCACACAATCCACACTGGTTTGAGGCCAGTCCTGGCACTATTTGAACCAGCAATGAAAGTGTGAGACCACTGCTGACATGCCTGTTCTTTTCCCTCCTGACAGCTTGTGAATCTGTAGCAGATACAGTGTTTAACACTGTCTGGACTCTGGGCTGCCGACCCTTCATGAACAGCCAAAGAAGTGCCTGCATTTGTAATGAGGAAGAAAAAGAGGAACTTTGAAGAGCACAGCCCTCTGGCCAGAGATGACCTCATGCATTCCATCTCTGATGCAGCTCTTTAGCAAGCCATTTTCCATCAGCCCTCTGAACTGGAGAAGTTATGATAGTATGGGGTAGGAGGAGCAGATTTTTGCACTGTGTATAATGCATCAGTTACAGCTTTGGGTGGAGGGGTGCTGTCAGAGGCAGTGACAACTACTGCCCACCTCAGATCCAGTCTAACAGCCCCATCTCTTTCCAGGTGTATCATTGTGGGTTATTTTAATGCCAATTTTCTATTGAGACCGATTAAGATGAGCAAACAGAATGCAATGCAGACAGTAATAAGTAGTTTCTGCAGCAGATATACACGTGTATAACAACTTCCTCTCCCTGAATCACTGATACACCCTGAAAAACAAGTTTTCCCACTAGCCAAAGTTCCAGTCACTAGTTACATCTTTTAAATAAATTATTCAAACACAGGAGATGGGCTGAGCCACAATATTGGGGCGGGGGGGGGGGTATGGAAAAAGGGGGAAGGATTCATCCCCTTTTGGGGTTTTGGTTCAGACCCAATTATTTACACACATGCAAACTACCCCACTTCTCTGAAATATTTAGAGGCTCCCCAAACTGTTCAGATAACCAAGGATTTTTGTTAGCTAAGAGAATGATTCATGGCTGGGGACATGGCCAAATATTAGCCAAGAGGGATTTTGAGTAGTTCCGATACATGAGTGCACACAAAGGTAGACTGGGACAAAGACCATCCATGCTCAAGTAGCTCAACACTATACACTCGGATACACATATAAGATTCTGCCCATAATTTCACAGCAGAAGGTGGTTGCAGGAGGATTTGATGGGACTTTGGGAAACTTTCAGGCATACGAAGGCATATTTGTAGAATGGTACTGCTTAGGCTATGTTTGGTAAGGCAGGGCTTGGTTTCATGGGGACATGGCTAACTTAAGAGATGAACAATCCCAGCGGATTTATTTTTTCAAACATGTCTAAGATCTAAATCTGTTAAAGGATTCTCTTATAGACTTTAAAAACTACCTCCCCCCAGGGAATTTTTTTGTTGTTGGGGTTTGTTGCTGCTGCTGCTGCTGAAAGGGAGTTTCTACCAAGATGTGTGTAACATACAAGATAAGTGTGGATCTGTCACATGCCTAGATAGATAGATGGATGTACACACACATTCTCACACTCTCCCTGTCTTCCATTCACTTTTACACACTGCACAAAGTGGAAGTTACAACACTGTTTTTGACAGATTCTGTTTTAGTTATATCCTTTCTGGCATATATGTTTAAACTGATACATTTAGCAGAACGTTATTTAAACTACTGTCCCTGTTTTTGCCAGGCTTATTGGCCGCACACTGGAAAGTGTTATACATCTGACCCATATGGTCTGCAGCAACGGGAGGCTATTGTTAGAAAACATGAGACTAAGGTAATAAAAAGTGATCACACTGAGTTGTGTGGGGATTCCCCACCCCCCACCCCATTTGGAAGGGCCATTCTTATTTCCTCAGTGCAAATTAGATGTCCCTCTGAGCAGGTGATAAGCCAGGGAGTATTCCAGTGCCAAAGTTCATCTCAGTAGTTGTCCATCAGAATGTTTCCTGCAGAAAGAACCTGATTGTCAGCCCTAGTTTGTTTGGGGTGGGAGAGGCAGGGGGGTTGTGTGTGAGGAAGAGACACAAAGAGCTTTATATATTTTTAAGGTGAACTGCTACCCATTGTTAAGTCTAAAGATGAGTTTATACGTACAATTAAATATCACTTGCAAAAATATCTTGTCTATGTTCAGTGGCTACCTTTAAATTGCAGATCTCTACAGTGACATATTAAAGCTGACCCAAGCATGTAATGACATGATAGATCATGACAAAATGGATAAATGTGGGGTTTTGAACTGAACCTTTCCATCCAAGCTTTGGTACTTTGAGGAGATCACAAATAAAAGTGATATTTCCTTTATATCTATATAGCACCTTTCATCCCCAAACCACTTTACAAGCTGCAGCTGATAGATGGAAGACGGTTGAGCCTGCATTTTTCAGTGTAAAGTTTCCTTTTACTGACTTGAAAAAAACAACAAAAAACCTTAATTATTTTTGGATAAAGCTTTTGAAATGTCTTATGAAAAGAACCAAACAAGAATATGTTGGAGTAGACACACGTGCTACATGAAATAAGACAACTTAGAGTTCTACAGCCTAGCCAGAGATCACTGGTGAGTCACTGAAATACAGCCATTCTGGCTGCTTAGCAGCACACAGCTGTTTAGATTGAGGTGAAATGAGATTAATCAATGTTCACTACAGTTCAACATGCTAAAACTTGCATCATCTTTGCTCTCACCCCCAATTGATGCATGAAGGGAGAGACCCTGTGCTCCCCTCAAGCTGCCTCCTCCCAGCTTTTTATATGGGTTGAAGTACTTACAGTTCTTGTTTACAAATGATCCAGTTGGTGTCTTCCCTCCAGTTAAAATGCTTCTGTACAAGACTCAGCATCTCAGAGGACCCTTCTCACAGTATAGTGAGGCACTGCAGCTACGCTGCCTCAGCTTCCCCACCACGCTCTTCAGCTCACCCTGGCCAGAGTGATGACTTGGGCCTCCAGACAAACAGCATTTGAGGGTTCAACCCCTCCCAGAGTAACAGAGTGCTTTAGAGAAAGGACAACAAAAGCACAAACAAAGGAATCTTCACCCAGCAGCCAGCTCCTTCCTTAAAGTCCCAGTTGCCACAGCCTGTTTCAACACTCACTAACAGGCACCTGGGCTCTGAGCCACTCACCAGTAAAATCCAGGCCCATGCTCCTGCAAAGGGCTCTGGACAGCCACACTCCTCAGGCAGTTTCTGGCCAAGCTTCTTACCCCAGGCTAGGAACACACTGTTTGCTCTTCTCCCTAAACAGCCCTTCACAGCTGGGCTTTCCGCCACTTAAGTCCCACATCCTACACAGGTGTAGCAGGGCAGGACTAATTCAACAGGGCTGACTGGCTCCAGGCCTCCTGATCTTTAAAGGAGCAGGCCAGCCTGTTACAGCTTTCTATGGGATCCCCTGCATCAGGTAAGCCCCCTGGCGGGCTGGGCCGGTTTGTTTACCTGCTACGTCCGCAGGTTCGGCCGATCGTGGCTCCCACTGGCTGCAGTTCGCCGCTCCAGTTCAATGGGGGGGGGGGGCGGCAGGAATCGGCAGCCAGTACATCCCTCGGCCCGTGCCGCTTCCCGCAGCCCCCGTTGGCCTGGGACGGCGATCGGCAGAACCTGTGGACGCGGCAGGTAAACAAACTGGCCTGGCCCGCCAGGGGGCTTACCCTGGTGGGTCGCGTGCCAAAGGTTGCCGATCCCTGCCCTGTATGTTCATTGAAATCATAATAGTAGGGCTGACTGGTACAGTGATTTAATGAATTAGCCTTTTATTCCTGGAAATCTGGGTTCAGACTCTGACTTACTGTATGACATATGTGAAAATGAGTTAGTTCAGCTCCAATCCTGGACATCAAAAACCCTCCCAGTTGTGAGCCAGCACAACAGAAGTTTAGAATTGGACTAGCAGTGAGCAATTCAGGTCAGGACTCTGCGGGGGGATGGCTGAGCAGTGTAGGGTAAATTTGCACAATGGCTGCATGGTAATACAGTATGTTACATTTCCATTTTTTTTATTTCACAGTGATTAGATAAGACATCAAAACAATAGTGTCTCCACTTATTCATATTATTTTACCAGCAATTTTTCCATTATTGCTCCTCTTCCAACACAGACTCTCTCTCTCTCTCTCTCTCTCTCTTCATAAAGACAGGCTAAAAGCCATTTTTTAAAAATCAGAGTTACCAAATAAATCAATAATGGTAAACTCTGATTTGTATTCTGAGTCTGGTTGCTGGAGGAAATAAAGCTCTGAAACTGAATACTGCGGATATGAGTTGTAATCCCCTTTTATATTGTTGCCCATTTGCAAGTGGTAACAGATTTTGGACTTTGGACAGTTTCCAATTGGAAGAAAAGTTGGTGATACAGACTCAGGGGATTTTCTAGTGCAATTTATTTATTTACAAATGTACACAAGTCATGTTTACCTTGAACAGTGCTGGCCAGAACTACACAAAAGGAATTTCATTTGCAGAAAACCCCATGAATACAAAGTCAAGCCCAGTAGCTCCCTCCTCTCTCACTCTTGGGTTCTGTCCCTACTTTCTGTACACTTGCTGACCCTTACTGCTGCCTCTGCATTGTACTTCTTACCTAAGAAATCTCTTCACCCAAAGTCACTAGTCTTTGGCTGCATGGAGCCACATGGACTAGTTCAGGCTGGCTTTGGCATTATACCTCCCTCTGTGCTGGTGCTTTGTACTCCAAATGAATCTCAGACAGGTATCAGTATCCAATATTCAATATCCACTGGAGCAAACTCTCCTGCTAGTCTTCCTCCGCCAAGATGGTGCTTAACCCTCACAATGTCTTTAAGAACTTTCTGAGAGTTTCTGCAGTAACCAGGCCTGATGGGGCTTTTGAACCTGATCCTCTATGTTTAATACTATCTATGGAGTGTTTCCATCAATTGTTCTTACTATGCATTTCATTAACACCTCTATCCTGCTCTAGGTTAATGCATTAGAACATCCAAGTCACAGAAGATCACAGCATCACAGTTCGTATTAGTTTTGAGATTTTTAATTTTTTTACAATTAAGGTGTCACACCACTTACAAAAATGCACCACATATCACCAAATTAGTGGGGCAGTGGGACAGGATTAGGGGGAAGAGAGATGAAGAAATGATACATTTTTTACAATATGTTTCTCTCTATTTAGTGTATGTAATTGTCAGAGGAAAATATAAAACTAATTTTATGAAATAATTATTTTAAAATATGCACATTTGCCTGCAACAATTCTGAGCTTTAGCTGCATATTACTGTTCTTTTACAGCTTCAAGGAGTCTGCATATTTGAGATATATATTTATATGTATTTTAATAACCACCCTTCAGAACTTTGATGTCACACTCTCCACCTACTCATTGCACACACAGCCTTATCACAGGAGTTGTTCAGTATGTGTGTTGGGCTCCTGGCACTGTTTGTATTGTCCTTGGAAAATAAAGCATTAGCGACATGGTTCAAAATGCGTTTAAACATTGTGAAGTTTGCAAACGGAGATCAGAAAAATGAAGGCAGGTAACATTTTGGGCCTATAACTGAAATGTCTCCTTTTAATTGACAGGAATGCAGGCACAGCTGTATTACACAGATGATCAGATTACATATGGAGGGGCTGCCTCTTGTGTCTAATATAGCTTCACAAAAGTAAATAACTGTCAGGCTGTTATGAAACAAGATAATAGGCTCATGCAGGGCTTTACCAAACACCTTTTTTGCATCATCAAAACCCATGCGACAAAACCTCAGTAGGGAGGGAGGGCAGGTTCTTGGGTAGTACACTGTGATGGTGAGAGAGTGCTACTCATCCATGTCGATTCTAATGGGGCCACCTGTCAGGATATGGTTTGCCATGTGACTGGTTTCCTCCTCCTCTTCCTCCATCCCAGCTGACCTGCGCATTCGTCTCCGACACCCCTGGGCACAGCGAGACCTCTCGTCCAGCACGCCACACACAAGGATGCGGCAGTGCAAGAACACTTCCTGCAGGATTGTGAAAAGGCAGGGAGATGGCAGTGTGAAGAACCATGGCGCTGGCTTTCACTTAAGCAGTGCTGCCGGCTCTCACAATATTCCCATCCATCCCAAACTTGCAAAATATTGTCCTTATCCAAGATGGACACCATCTCCCTTTATTAAAGGGACTGAAGCC